TAACCTTCCTTCTCCAAGACCACTACCAGGAAGTCAAATAGATACTCCCTATGTGATTATTGCAGACGACGCATTTCCTTTGGGACCGCATTTGATGAAGCCATATTCTTCACGAGGCTTAACAAATGAACAGAGAATTGCAAACTATAGGCTTAGCCGAGCTAGGAGAGTCGTGGAAAATGGTTTTGGGTTATTGTCCAATAAATTTAGAATTTTGTTGACAAAAATACATTTATCTCCCCCTAAAGTTGAATTAATAACAAGGACTTGCTGTGTATTACACAATTTCATTAGAAATAGATCTCCTGTACTTGAAGTAATGAATAATGAAGAAACACAAAACATATGTCAAATGAAATCCATTAACTTCAATCAAGGTGGCAATAGATCCACCAATACAGCTTATAACATACGTGATGAATTTTTAAAATATTTCAATGGTCCAGGAGAAGTACAATGGCAGCAAATTGCTGTGGAAAAAGGAAATTTTTAAACATATTATAACAACATACTATACAAATGAACAGTTATTTTCTTTTTTATTATTAAATAAAATACAATTTTTAACATTAAACAATTTTATTTAAAAATAAAACATAAATTTTTACCTTATTCAGTCTTCCTTGACTAGAAATGCATGTAGTTGATGATTAATAAAAATTTCACAATACCAAAACATTCAAATTTTAAAATATTATTTAACAATTACATATCAAAATAATAAGGTTATATAATATGATTTAAAAACTAGGTAAATATTAAACAAACATTTAACAATTTTATAAAAAAAAAAAACAAACTTTTCACTTGTTATTATACATACTCAGTCTTCCTTGACTAGAAATGTAGGAATATTGATAATACTTATTTGTCTTAAAACGTAATTTAACAAATATCTTTAAGTTGAGCATCCATTAAAATATTTAAAATTGTTTTAGTCGTTTCAATTTTAAGGGAAGGATTTTTGATAGATTGCAGCGAAGAACTTATAAATTGAGATAAACTATGCGAAGCATTATCTAATGGTGTCACTGATGGTACTGCTAAAGCTTTTGCTATGTTACTCAATGCTTCTTCAGACTTTTTCAGTGTATTGTCAATGGTAACCTTTTTTTTTTTTGTGGCTGGTACATCATCACTTAACCATAATGGTGCTGATGAGGTTCTCCTAGGTGTCATATTTTCTGTAATATCAATATAAACATACATAAATAAGTAACTTTTAAATCATATTTATGTAYACAATTATTCAAAGATGGACATTAACAAGTATCAGGAATGCTTCAATTTTCAACTTCGGCATGTTTTTTTTAGGGGGGAAAGGGAATGTAGTTGGTGCATTCCAGGTGTCATTTTATAATAAAAAAGGTTTATAATTTTTCCAAAATATGAAAATTGAAGATTTTTGGTTTTTGAAAATGGTTAAATAAAACTATATACTATAATATAAAGAATTAAAAATATTTGATCTTACTTTCCTCGCTTATTATTTGTTAATTGTTTGTACACTAATTTTTAAGCATAAGAATACTATACATCATAAACTCATAGTCATGAT